CTGGCAGCCAGAGGTAACATGCTGGATCGATTCATTTGTGGCTTTACATAGACGGCATCTGTTATCGACTGTTTAGATTTCCTTTAACCAACCAACAGTAGAGAATGTTTTATCTATTTCAGTTTGTTGGAGTTGGTGAAAAAATCTTCCATGCAGGGTTTTTGACTTCCATTCTTCCTGTCGGTCATTGTCCGTAAAAATTACAGATGCAACAGTTTCTGGAGTGGCTAATTGTAATGCTGTGTGTCCATGGTCGAGATTGCACATTATCCTATGAAAAGGTACTTCACTTTGTTTGAAGTATTCTCTGAGAGTCATTTCTTGTTTTCGGCACTTCAATGTTTATGAGACCTCTCTCACCTTCCTTTCTTGGTAAATAAAGTCTTGCCATAGATGCAGTCGGCTGATGCATTCTGTATTTAGTACTCGTCCGTATAAATCTATCCAATTCCTGGAGTGAAGTTGTAGACCATTTTAAAATTCCGAAACTGTAAGAAATGGCTGGTATAACCCACGTATTCACAGCTTTTATTTTTGAACCTGAGGGTAGGTATGTTGTAAGAATAATTTTCAATCTCTTTTTCAACGACTCTATCAGTCTGTTTTTTGCCTCTTTACTTGCTATTTTAACATGCTGTTCTACCCCAAGATATAGCTCTTCATTTTTTAGCTGTTTAATATGCAATGCTTCATTAAATATGTTCTCAGAGTTACTTGGCTTCCCTTTAATCACATGAAGAACAGCACATTTCTCAATACCGAGTGACATGTGCATTGAGTCACTAAATTGAGTTACAGTATTTAGCATAGTTTGCAACTGAGATTTGTTCTTTGCATAAAGTTTTAAATCGTCCATATAAAAACTGTGGCTGATTACTGCACTCAATTCATTGAATTTTATTTTGTATCCGTTTCTCTCTCGAATTAATAAAATTGATAGTGGAGCCATTGCAAGACAAAACCAAAGGGGGCTGAGGCAGTCTCCCTGGTATATACCTCTCGAAATTTTAATGTACTCCCGAGGGTCTGTTGATTGCTCATGTCCTATCCTCAATCTAGTTTTCCAGCAGTTCATCAATTTCTTCAGGAGTTCAGTTAAACATGGATGAACTTTATACAATTCTAAGACTTTTAAAAGCCAACTGTGAGAAGCCGAGTCAAATGCCTTTCTGTAATCAATCCATGATATTGACAAATTTCTTTTATTCGCGGTCGTTTGGCCTGTAACAAATGAGTCTATGAGCAACAGCTCCTTACAGCCTTGGCTCCTTTCCTACAACCAAGTTGCTGGATGTTAAAATCTTATAAACTCCGTTGAGACAAGTAATTGGCCTGAAGTCTTGTGGTTTCAATAGGTCTCCCTGTTTTTTAGGAATTAGAACGGTAACACCCTGACAAAACGTGTTAGGAATGTCTATTTGTCCTCTTATCATTTTTTTATAGTTCATCGCAAGTATTTCGTGCAAACAGGTTAGGTTTTTCAACCAATAATTTTGAATTTTATCACTGCCTGGAGCTTTCCAATTTTTCATTTTCTTTGTTGCGATGACTACTTCTTTTGTTGAAATATCAAAATCAGGCATTTGAGGTGCCTCCAGAAGTTCTCTGTTCACTAATTTTAGCCAGTCTATTTCGTCATTGTGATCTACATTGTCCTCCCAAAGCCTCTTCCAATGGTCGATTATATTACCGGTTAACGATCAATTTACACTTCCCTTTTTATTTTCATCCAAGTTTCGATAGAACTGCTTCTCACTGTTTGTGAATCTTTTATTCTGCTGTTTACGGAGCATCAAGGTTTTATAGCGCCGTATTCTGTTTGCGCTTCATTAACGTTTTTCACAGTTATCCATCCGGGATCTAAAGTTGTAAGGAATCCTTGATAGGGTGGGTCTAACATCATGTGGTATTCCTTCATAAAGCATATGTTGGGATAACAGTGACAGAATTAGTTTTTGTACCTCTTTGTCTTCTTCTTCTGAAGAAACTGCCTCCATCGTCAATAATCCTTCTATGTGTTCTATAACATCAGTTGGTCGCTCTTCATTCTCAGCAGTTATTATCTCTAGTCGTTCTTATACGATTGCTTTTATATTATCCATTTCCAGAAATTTTCTCGACCGGATTACTCTAACCTGATCACTGAGTCTTTGTGTACTTATAGTCATCTATGGATATAATTCTTGCCAATACTGTTGAACCCTGCTGAGGTATCCTGTCTTTTCTGTTTCTAATTGTGTTGCCAAAAGATATGCGTGGATGACTGCCTTGTTCATTTCTGGCGTCCATTTCACCTCTTGGTCTCTGTTGCCGGGTTCGTGGAGGAGGAGAAATGTCTCGCCCAAGCCCGAACTTGAACTAGTTGCTGGTTCTTGCAGTCTTGTGGTCCATTGCGACAGGGTGGCGCCACTTACTCCACCACTACCTGAAGGAAGCTGTTGAAGGTTTCGGCCTGGTGCAGCTTCATTCCCAGGCTCGTCCGAGGCTATACATCGATTTCTTAACTCCATTTTTGATGGGTGATTGCATTTTAAACCTTCTGCCAGGCCTTCCTAGGTAAGGTTGCCCTAAGGTGTGTACTGAAAATGCCCTAGTGTCGGTGTTTATGTTATTGTGTGCTGCAATGTGTGAGTTTGTGAACGGTATGATGTACTCAGGAACCCGAGGGAGCGTAACACCTCAACAACTGCGTTCATCAGTTGCCCTTGCGGCTTATGCTATTATTATTATTATTATTAACTCTAAATATATTATATTTAAATAATTAGGTATCTATTGGCCATTTATTCCAAAAAATCTTTAAGTAACCTTTTAGGAAATTAAATTAGTGAATAATTTGATGAATTTTCCCTTTGTGAAATGCCAACATTATCCACTTACAATTAGGGTGACAACTTTTGACCTATCCATGGCAGGCAATGAAAATCTCGTAATTTTCATTTTAGTTAACTTTACAATCGAAAATAACAGTTTAATAGTCCTACGATCCATAATTTTTTATAGGTTAAATATTCAGATGTACTATCAAATCTCTCTAGGCATATATGAACCTTTCCGTTGTTAGAATAACTAACTGTAATTTTAACATTCTTTATTATTAATTTTAGTGATGTTTCTAGTGGCAAAATTTATACCTTTATTCACAGTTATTTATTTCAACATTGCAATCACCTACTCTGGAATCAACTTGCTCTCTATCTGTATAGATATAACTTCAACTAGAAATATCACTAAGATGACATTACTCAAAAATGTTGAAATTGGAGTTGGTCATTCTGTCAACTGAAAGGCTCAGAGACTGAAATTATGTGGTTCATAGAACTAGATTTTTATTGCCTACCATTGATATAATAAATAGACCTTTTGTAATTTTAATGGTCCTAATGGTTTGTTATCTGTAAGCTTTATTTCCGTTTAAAATGCACTTCAAAAATTTTATAATACCCCAACATTGCCAAAAACTAATTTCTATTCAAAGTAGAGGGTTAAGTAAAAGTTGTGTGTTGCCTGCACCAGATTTTTTAAAAATCAAACAGTGTTTAATTTAGTTAATATTAGTTTATCTGAGTGTTTTGATCTGATTGTCAGTAACCCACACCTGAGATAAATAAATTTATCAATACTCTTTTAATTTTGTTTATTATTTAATAACATCTTATTTATTTAGGAAGTACCCCTCTTATTTATAAAGTGATCTTCTGAGGTTATATTATTATAATTTGTAAAATATAAGAGAAATGTTTCAATATCTACATGGATTAATTAAAGTGGCTTAGTTAAATTTACATAAATAGATTAAAAAAATATTTAAATAGATGATGTATGTATGTGTGTGTCATAATACTGGTTAAAAAAACATATATTTATAACTATAAAAGTATTTGCATATTCTTAGGGGGGAGGGAAAGAAAGGAATCAGATAAATAGATAAATCATTTGACAACAAGGTACATTGGGCTCCTTCAATGATAGCTGGGTTGATTCAATTGAACTGTTTAGATGACACTGACCTTGCTAGAGATATCTTGCCTGGCATGGTGGAGGGCTGCAATGAAATAAGCAGCCCGGTCCCGCAAGCAATTTCTTTACCTCCTGATCACGGGGAAGGACTTCTTGATTTTTCAAGATTTGAGAAGCACATCATGTCTCTAGCATACGGCTCAGACCACCTGCAAATTTTCAGCTTGATCAGACTAACTATACTTAATAATAAATTATTTTAATGTGGAGCCGATGTGTCCATATCACCGGCTTTAGCTAAACTCGATCTCAGCTTTTCAGATATTTGCTTACTGCCAATATGACCATAAAATTGATGGGTCTTATCATTCATATATAAACCAAACTTTGTTGATACATAAATCTGTTTCCTGTTATTTAGTACCTTAAGCATAATCTCACAATATCTGGTAATATTTTTTGAATTTTCTATTTCTGCTTTATGGGCTTCTTGATCTTTAATTATTATATCTTCATTTTGAAATTTTCCAGGACTGAATTTCTAGATAATGTATATTACTTTTAATAGTCTTCATGGCCAGCAGCTCCTCATGTAAAGAGAAATACTTTAAATCACTTGGGACAACATGCCATATATTTTTATTCCCAGACCAGCCTATAATTCTTACTTATCTTCATCTGTCTTAATGATGTGCACATATAACCATTTCTTCTGTGGAACTATACTCAATAATCGTTAAAAGATTTTTAATTCTTTTTATTATTCAATGAAAGATGTTAAAAAATTTTAAAACAAGAAATGTTCAACAATCCGTTATTCAGTAAACAATTAAAACCCTGATTTACTAATACAATAAGGATTACCATATGGTATTTCAATTAGTTATATATCATCTGGTTTACAGTTAAAATCACTATTTTACACATATTCTTAGCAAATCTAACATGTTAACTTATTTTCTTTATTAGTTTTTGTATAGTACATATGTATTTATATACTTATTTATTCATTTTTCATTATTATTCTAATTTTTTTATAGGGGAGAACCAAAGACATGGTATGGGGTCCCAGGTGAAAAAGCTGAAGATTTTGAAAAAGCTATGAAAAAAGCTGCTCCAGAACTTTTTGAAAATCATCCAGATTTATTACACCAATTAACGACTATAATGAATCCTAATGTTCTAATGCAAGCTGGTAATTTTTTTATAGCTTATGTCTGTAACTGTAGATATTACTACTAAATAAATTAATCTGACCTTAGTTAATATTGTAAAAATGATAAACATATTTTTTAAGTTATTTTCAGGAATAGAAATATTGTGGCTTATTAAAGTCTATCTATCTCAGATCCTCCCCCCCTTTCTTGTTTCATTTTAGTTGACATTGTTTGTGAAAACACATAGCGTGGAAGGAGTCAAACTACCTGTTCCTTTGAATCTAAGTGGTAATAAAGCTTAATAATTAAATTCTCATTCAAAACAAGCAGGGGGTATTCTCCCCATCAACATGAATGAATAAATGAAAATAATTTTATTATTCTGGGACTAGTGTCCCTTTAGAACGAGTTACAATTACAGAACACATATTAGTATTCTGGTTTGTCCATAAAATACAATTAAATATTTACAGGGTGATCAGGAATACAATACAATGTAGTAGACATCCCCCTGTATTTACTCCTTTAGACGACATTGTGTGAGGGAATGAGAAGGAATATATAATATATAGGAATGTGAGGTTGCACTGTGAATTGTACTCAATTGTGCAGTGGACAAATTGCTCATTGGAAAATCTCATATCGATAAACAATCGAAAAGAAGAAAAAAGGTCTGATCAGGTAGCTGGCAATAGATGGTGAAAAGGACTCCAAACACTTGAGGCAAAAGGACGGAAGCGAGAGGAAGTCATCTGGGAAGAGAGGCCTACTACATTGAAGACCAAGAATATCAAGCCGACCGTTCACTTATATATTCATTATCAATTGTTAAAATAAAATTGTTTTATTATACAGGAGTGAAAGTAATTTTATTTAGTTGTCCTATATGCCTCACGATTGAAGAATAACAAACCAGGTGAGTCAATTCATTCAAAGTGTATTTATCAAGTCCCACATTTCAAATATATATTCTTATTGTTTCTTCTCACTCAATGTCACAAAAGGTATTAGATTCCCGAATTCCCAACAACAGTTAAACACCCTCAAAAGTCTATATTCAATGCTGGGGTTTTGTTTTAATATTCACGAGTGTAAATAACCTAGTTCCCTAAAAGAGGAAGGCTATTCGCCAATTCCCGCCAAAAACAAGTTATTTACATTTAACTATTAGCAGGTTATTTACAAAGTGATAACTAATATATACATATAAATTTAGTGATTAACAACTATTTCAAAGTAGACAAGATGAATTTTCCTTCTATCATAAGTAGACATTGCCTTTATTAATCTAGAAGAAATTTTTAACAAGTAAAATTAAAGTAAGTTCTGTTTTTGTACAATCATGGATTATTTACGATTTTTCCCACCTACTGGATTACAGATCCTTCATCAGGCTAAATAAAATATAAAAATTAACAACAATAATATAATAAAAAACAATCTTTAAAATGAATAAAAACTTAACAATAAAATACATTAAATAAACACTATTTGTTACGGTCCTCCTCTTCTGCTTGTCAGCAGTAACGGTCCTCAAAATTGAGCATTATTGGTATTCGAGCATAATACATAATTTTTTTAGGGTTTTTAAAGAAAATCCATTTTTTCCCTTTAGCGTGTATGAGTTCTACTGTACTATGTTTATGTGGAAATGAAAAATTTCCACAATGGTTCTTGAAATGAGATGTATGGCCTGACCCAAAGCAATATTCTTTAATACTTCTTGTCAGTTTCCTTCCAGGCTGCCCGATATAAACAGCAAACTGAGAGACTCATCGAGTAAAAACCACTCTTACACATCAGAGTTGGGCATATTGTCTCCTTATTCCCTCACAATTGTATTTAAATATGTGATAAAGAATATTTTTATATTCAAATAAAATTATGGATAAATATTCTTCTTTATTAAAAAAATATTTATATTTTTTACAAGTCTAAATATATATTTGCTATCGTATTCACTTCTGTAAATACGAATAAAGTTATACTTACAGGTGTAGATCCACGAAAAATGAGCAATAATATTAATAAAAATAATAATAAAACTGGCTGCAATACTAATAATAAAACTAATCAATATAATCTTCTCCTGGGGATACTGCAACATACACATAAACAAAATTGAAAGAAATATTAATGTTATAGAATATAGTGTGGATGTTATCCTACCTCACTATGACCAGTGTCCATGTGACAGATTGTTGTAATATTAAAAAAAAAAAAATGTTATAGAAATTAAGTAAACAGAAGAAAGTAGCTAGAAAACGAGGTGGTGGGTTGGAGGAACGAGAGCAGAGAAGTCAAGCGAAGACGTCAAGGTCAGAAGATGAATTTACAACAACTGACCATCGGTTCGCCTACACTTCACTTTGCCATCACCAAACCAAACGTATTTTATTTTTCCAGCCGCCTTCCTTTGTCTGGCTAGCCAGTACAGGTGCCTGTTGGTTAGGGTCATTGCTTCTCCGATGATTATTTTGTGAGCATCGTTCTTCTGCCAGCCCATGTGACAAGTAGAAAAATCTCTTACCACTTTACGTTTATGAATCAGCTCATCTCTTAGCGTTTGTCAGACAAATCTGACCAATAGTGGACCGGTAGTGTTATCTCGCCGAGTTCTGATCCTTTCTATGCTGTCTACATCTTCCACTGAGTTTCCTGAAGCGACTATCGTTTTTAATTGCTCCAAATTTTGGAAAGTGATAGATGTCTGGGTTTCCAATGATGATTTTAAATCCTTCAGGTCGGAGGCATTAGCTTCTCAGGCTCTTAACCTCCGTTGTAAGCTCTTGGATTGCAGAGAGCAGCAACTGCGATGCAGCATCCCCAGTGGTATGCTGCGTGCTCGCGCCTCTTTCGCTAGGCGAACTATTTTTTTGGGCCTTGTCACAATTGGGGCATTTCCAAGTCATTTCTTTTTATAGGGATTCAATTATTTCCACATTTAGACATTTCCCGTGATATATCCCTTGGCAGGTGGAAGTGGATCAAATTAACATTTTTTTATCTTCTTTTGATACGATCTGTTTGCATAACGGGCAATTGACCATTGTTATTCGTGTAATGTACCATTGTACAGACGTGTAATGTAAATACCTCTTCTCACTCCACTATGTTTTTTATATTAAAGAATATTCTCTGATGACTTCTTCAGTGAGAGTATAACGGTTTACCGATGAACACTTTGTAATTTAATCTCAAATTATGTTGCAAATTATTACAAGCATTACGTAACCTTAGATGGAAATAACTGTTGATGTTTACATGGCGAGAGCACTGGACATACAACATGCATTCAAACATTTGGGTACAAGGACAGTGATGAAACATTTAACTTTTTTGGATATTTAGGCGTGGCAGGTTATATTGGTCCTTCGTTATTTCCTGAGGCATGCCATAAGTAGAGCACCAGAGAAAGAGCACCAGTAGTGGGCCCCATAAGATTTTGTATAACTGATAGTCAATTAAAATACATAGTATAAGGTCATCACTTACATACTCAACTATTAGCATTTTAAAAATATTTTCTAATCACATTATCCTTAACATATGATGAAAATTATTGTTTATTCCACCATTCTTGATTTAAAGTCGAAGAATTTCAGTCTCTTCAAGAAACTGTGTACTTTATTTATAATAATTATTAAATTAATAAAAATGTTCATAATCCCAAAGGTTCATTGTCCAAGCAAACTATAATTGTTTTTTTATCTTCTCTATTAAATAATTATTGACCCTCATATCATAAATATAAATATCTAACCCATGTATCCCGTATATAGACATAGTAGATCAAAGAATATTTATATCAAGGGATACAAAGAAGTTCATGTAAACTATGAGCCTATTTCATATTAAAAATTAGAAAATATAAGTTTTATTGTTTGTTCTTTAAAGGAAATCTTGTTTTTGGATGAATCAATAACTGTTTAATTTAGGTAATTACTAGTTGCACCGTGGTAAACTATACAAAATGTTCTTTAAGTGCAAGTAGAACTCGTCTTTGTTTATACCATTATAAGGAGGCTTTTAAATTGCTAAACTGCATTGAGTTCTGTTTTTCTTAAAGCGAGAGAGCCAGCAACATTTTATCTTGCCGAAAAATGTAAAGTTACCAACCCTTTGGACTGACAGTATTAACTGTCCTAAAACATGAAATGATAGTTAGTTAATCCATACTCGGGGATTATGTCGAAAATTTAAATTACAATACAAAAAGTACATTTTTTTTTTTTTCAGTTTTAGGCTTTTACCAGGAAAATTATGCATTCTAGCGATAATAATGTTCTATATAAAATTAAACCTGATAAAATTTGCTACAGAATTGATTCTATTCATATTTTCTATGGATGGATTTTATGATTATGAACTCATGTCAGTGGCGGATCCAAGAATTTTCTCAGGGGCGCACCTTTCCCCACCCCTGCCTGTTTCTTCACCACTACCCATCTTTCTCCACTCCTTAGCTGAAAAGTCCTCTTTAAATGGTTTTAACAAAAGCAAACTCTATTTTTATTTAAAGTAAATTTTATCTAGTTTACAGTGAAGCAATCGTTAATTACTTAAATTAACTAGTTGCTAGTTATCACTTCCTATTCACCCAAAATCGTGACTTACATAAAAAGTCACAAAACTTTAATTTCCTACTTTCCTGCTAAAAATCGAACCTTTGTTTATATAAACTTTTTTGTATTTCTTTAATTCTGTTATCACTCCTTTAAATATTTATCTCTACTTACGGGACACTCTGTATGTGGAGATATGAAAAAAAAAAAAAAACAGAATTCGCTAGTGCTGGTCACGATAATATATTTTTTTTCTATTACATTAGGAAATTTGCCTATGAGGATGAATTTTCCCTATATTTTTCTTTTCTTTGAATAGATGTTTTTTGGGATTTTTTTTCCACCGTCCAAAGGAGGGTGCGCCCCCTGGCAGAATTCTTGAGTGATGGTCACGATAATAATATTTTTTTATATTACATTAGGAAATTTGCCTGTGAGGATGAATTATTCCTATATTTCTCTTTTGTTTAAATAGGTGTTTTTGAAACTTTTTTTGTTTTTTTTCACCATCCAGGGTGGGGCGCGCCCCCCCCCCCGGCTGGATCCGCTAGTGACTCATGTACTCGGCAAACAGTAATATGTGATTTCTTGCACAATATTTAGTATTCAAAAATTAGTTTACTCACCATAAATGGTAGATATCGTGAAATCACTGTTCCTCTAATTTTGGCTATGCTTAAATAATGATCCATGTCCATGTTAGTTCCTTTTGGATTTGACAGACACCAAACCAAATTTGATCCTTGATATTTGAAACGTAAAACACAAATGGAAATTTTCTTTTGAATCAGGCCTTTGTCAAAACTTAAAAAAAATTTAATTATTTTGTTGAATTCGAGGTTTATCATCACTTCTTTAGGTTTTGAACATCATGGTTGTTTCTGTATAGTAATCAGCCAATTAAACTTTTTTATAAAAATATAAATTTATAATTTTGCCCTTTTTTTATAGGTGTTCCTGTGTACCGAACTGATCAACAAGCTGGTGAATTCATCGTAACTTTCCCAAGGGCTTACCATGCAGGTTTTAATCAAGGGTATAATTTTGCAGAAGCTGTTAATTTTGCACCTGGAGATTGGGTTAGCTTTATTTCAATATTCAATATTCAAGGGCACTTGCATGAATTTTCAGTTTTTAGTTGTTGGTGAGGATTAGGTTATAAAAAGAAAACTGCAAAAACTTCTCAATTTTTTCTGATCCATATGTGTAAAAATAAACGACATTGAACATAAGTGAAGAGGAGAAGCAGAGTGGTTTAATTAGATATTCTCTCCATCTACAGCAATATTGCTCGACCACGTCACCATGGGCACCTTACTGATTCCTATGCTTGTTGACTTAGTAAAGTATTTTAACTTTCAAAACTTCTATTCAAGAAATATCTTTCAGTTTTCTTTTTTCACTCTGGTGTCTGTTGGTAAAAATATTTAGTTACATTTTTAGAAAAAAATTTTACTAGCTTTTATAAATTTATGGAACAAGACAAATATATAGAAATGGTACACCAGGAGTACATGTTACATTAGCTTCTACTTCAATCACCACCATACCTCCCTGATGCAGTTATTTCAATTTATTAGCTTAATATAAACTATTTGTACTATTATTAGCTATTTATTACTATTTGTACTATTTAAAAAATGTTGATTCAGTTTTATTCTTATATATGTTTTTTATCAATATAAAAAATGAAATTTATAATTTTGAAATGAAAATTTCTTTTCATGCAAGTATCCCAGTATTACAAAATACCATTTTACTTCTGTAATTTAGGTTTTTAATGGATTACATATTTATTTATAGATACAAATTGGCCGTGAATGTATAGGAAATTATTCTACTCTTCGTAGATATTGTGTTTTCTCTCATGATGAATTAGTTTGTAGAATGGCTAATGACTGTGAAAATATTGATCCAAAATTAGCTGCTGCCGCATATATGGATATGATAAATATGGCAGAAATAGAAAAAAATCTGAGACATACTGTACTTACTTGGGTAAGTGGAAAAGAACATTTACTATAGTTTTACTCATTACAATTAATTTTTGCTGAATTCTAGAAATGCAAAGGCATAAATACAGTGCATGCATAAGTTAATGATGCCCGAGCGTGTTAGAGTGTTCTGATCATAATCACTAGCAAACGTAACATTGTCATCTAAAAGTGGTCAATGACATCACATTTTAGGTTTAGGACAGTATTAATAAACTAGGAAACATCTACTATTTTTTAGCATTAATCAAGTGATCAGTGGTAACCATGATTATAATCTCATATATTTATCAATCAGTTGAAAATTTGTTGAAATTCTCATAAAATGATACATACCTTTTAAGCTGAAAATTGACGGAAATATTGAATGAATATACGGAAGTAAATTAAAGGTTAAACACAACTGAAAAGAAAAATTAAGTACACAAACAAAATCCTCGACTAAAACATTCCCAAGAGAATTTGTCATGCCTAATGTCAGTAACATATGCAGTAATAGTACTAAAGAGTACTGTGTCGGTAGTCACACAGTATTCCTTCATTTCTTTTTTCATTTTTCTATAAAATAAATAAAGGTATAAGGATTTGGTTTCAAGAATCAATTTTACTTTGAATATATTTGTTTCTTTGAGGTTCAGTTAATGGTAAAAAAATTATTAACAATAACCTTTTTGTCCACATTTCAATATACTTAAAGTCTATCGAATCACAACACAACTAAAACTAAATTTATAACCAGTGGTTGAGAATCTCACACAGTTATAACTGCTTTTCAGGGTGTTAAAAATTTATTTTTTATTTTATTACTACCACCATTTAACCCTTTGACTGCGGACGGGATACATGCCTTCCTGTTAAAGAGTTGGGTCACTGGTGCGGACGGGATATATGCCTTCCCGGTAGCTATTTGGCTAACTGATGTGGATGACGGGATATATACCTTCCCAGTAGTAAGTTAAGTCACTGGTGTGGCCGGGATATATGTCTTCCCACCTGGATTGTCACCACTTAACCAGGTAGGGGCAAGTCCCACCTTCACCATTTGACTTGTGGCCTGGTCACTGCATTCATTAGTTTCCTGTAGCTGACTCAGTGCCGTCATTCAGGATACATATATATATGATATATAGAATAGAATAGAATAGAAAAATAATTTTATTCTGGGACCACAGTCCCTTTATACAAAATAGAACTAAATAAAAAGATCACATCTGGCCAAAATAAAAACAATTGAAAAAAAGAAATAATGTAAAGAAAATATAAGGTAAACATTCTATATACAAAACAAACGAAACCATATACAAAACAATTAATACTATGACAAGACACTTAAAGCTATTTGCACTGATAGACGAGTATACACTCTTAAGAAAATAATAAAGAATTAAAAAATAAAAATATATCAAATTCTCTATTAAAATCAGCTCTATTAAAATGGTTAGCAACTATCTGACTGTTTTTGGGATAGGAATTGGAATAGAAGAGTTTTGAATGTGGATATGGATGGGGAATGTCGAATTTTGATAGGGAGGGTGTTCCAGAAATTGACAGAGCGAACAATAAAGGAATTTTGGAATGAAGCGAATTTGTGAAAAGGCATGTAAAGGTTAGGAGGTCGAGATCTTGTGGACAGGGAATGGACTGAGGATATGAACTGGAGAAGGTTGTAGGTGTAAGAAGGACGATGGTTGTTGATGATTTGGTAGAGGAACGTACCTAGGAAATATTATCTTCGGAAGGGGAAAAGCCACTTTAACTCAGCGTAGTGGTGAAAAACATGGGAGTATCTTGGGGCCCCGATCACAAATCTTACTCAGCTGTTCATTAGTCTTTTCAATCTATCGCAGAGCTCTACAGAGAGGCCATCATACACCACACAGCTATAGTCAAAGTGGGGGAAAATGAGAGATGAAATTAGGAGTCTACAGGTATGTTGAGATCCCTAATTAGATAAGAAGATTCACTAGAAACACCATTTCATACAGGTAGTTTGTTTCTTTGTTTTTCTTCCCAAGCAATCATTTTAATATATATGAAAAATATCTTTTGGGCTGAAGCCCTTCCCCCAAAATTTAATCCTGGATCTGGGCAGACAATAGAAATAGAAATAGAAAATAACTTTATTCTGGGACAAAGTCCCTTTAGAATAACAAAATAGAACATAATTAAAATACTACATCTGGCCAAAATAAAACAATAATAAAAAAGAGAAAGTAAAGAAAATATTAGTTAAACAAGCTATATACAAAAAAAAAAAAAAAAAAAAATCTATATACAAAACACTTAAAACTATGGTAAAACACTTAAGACTATGTACAGTAGGAAAAATTATAATAATACTCTTTTGAAAAATAAAATAATAAAAATAAAATAATTGAGTTCTTCTTTAAAATGAGGTGTGTTTCTGCTAACAAAGAGAAGACAATATAAAATATCAGTGTCTTTAAATAATGATTAATATGTAGACTCATCATTGTCAAATGCTAGAGGTACAGATTTAATTATATACCAATAAAAAATAATAATAAAAAAAACAAAAAAACAATAGATGCGGTCAGTGGCATTAAGAGCCGGAAGATATTGTAATATCCCTAGTGAAGTTCACAGTATAGAATAGTACTATCGTTTGATGATGACTAGAAATGTATAATATCAAAAATTTAGCAAGTATCTGACTGTTTTTGGGATAGGAATTGGAATAGGAGGGATTTGAATGTGGATATGGAGGGTGAATGCCGAATTTTGATAGGTAGAGAATTCCAGAAATTGACAGCGCGAGCTATAAAGGAATTCTGAAATGAGGCAGATCTGTGCGAAGGGATGTAGAGGTCAGAAGGTCGAGATCTTGTTGAAAGGGAATGGACTGAGGACTTGAATTGGAGAAGGTTGTAGGTGTAAGAAGGACGATGGTTGTTGATGATTTCATAGAGGAACCTACCTAGAAAATATTGTCTTCTAAAGGAGGGGAATAGCCACCTTAACTCAGTGTAGTGGTGAGAGACATGGGAGTACCTCGGGGCACCGATAACAAATCTTACGCAGCTATTCATTAATCTTTTCAGTCTATCACGGAGCTCCACCGAGAGGCCATCATACACCACACAGCTGTAGTCAAAGTGGGGGAAGATAAGAGAGGAAATTAGGAGTCTACGGATATGTTGAGGTAGGAGGTGGCGGAAGCGATGAAATAGTTAAAGGGTAGAAATTGTCCTATGGGAAATGTGAGAAATATGGTAGTTCCAGAAGAGGGTTTGATCTATGAAAAATCCTAAATTTTTAACAGAGGAGTAGAAGGAAATTGGCTGGTCATTAAGGTGGGAAAGTCAGTATGGGATCTAATAAGGGGCTTGGAACCAATGACAATGGCCTGAGTTTTGGCAGCATTTAACTTTAATCCATTTACATTTGCCCAGGCACTGATTCGATCAAGGTCTTCTTGAATCTTGGCAAATGCTACCAATAACTCAGAGGGAGAAAAGGATAGGTAGATCTGGGAATCATCTGCATAAAGGTGGTGGGAACAATGGAGAATTGAATTATGAAGGTCGTTAATGTAGGAGCTGAAAAGGAGAGGAGATATACTTGAACCCTGGGCAACTCCAGAGGATAAAGGAAGGTAGGCAGATAGTGGTTGATTAGGTATGGAGACTGCTTGGGTGCGTTGGGAGAGGAAAGATTGGAACCAAGAGATGGAACTATTGGAGAAAGATAATGATTTTAGTTTGTTGAAGAGGATGGAATGGTTGATGGAATTGAAGGCTTTGGAGAAGTCGAGAAGTATAAGGACAGTTAATTTTCTATCATCTATTGCAGATTGAATGTCATTGATAATTTTAATTAAGGCAGATTGTGTGGAATAGCCGGGACGGAAACCAGATTGGAGAGGATCAAATTGGTTGGACTTTTCAAGGAACTTGGAGACTTGGGATTGCACCAGTCTTTCAAGAGGCTTTGAGAGGTTAGAAAGAATTGAAATTGGACGGAAATCTTCGGGTGAGGATGGATTAGGCTTTTTATTTAAAGGAAGAACAATGGCTTTTTTCCAAGAGGTAGGGAATACTGAATTCTGAAGGGAGAAATTGTAGATAAAAAGGAGAGCTGGGAGGATTTCAGGGAGACATATTTTTATTAATTTGACAGAGATGCCGTCTGGCCCTATGAAATTGGTGTGGGATTTCATTACCGCGGTTAACAGGTCTGTGGGAGAAATGTCGGAAAAATAAAAGTTATTGTCGTTAAAGGATATCTCTGGAGAAAAGCCGGAAGAGGAAGGTAGAGAAGAGGTATTCATTCATTCATTCATGTATGGCACAACATCCCGTCACCGAGACTGGGCCTCCTCCAAGAGCCTCCGCCAGTTGGCTCTGTCTTCTGCTGCAGCTCTCCAGTTCCGCACACCAAGCAGGGTTCTCGCATCATAGGCCACGTTGTCCAACCATCTCGTCCTCGGCCTTCCTACCCGTCTTACGAGGTGCAGCTCCTCCATCATTATTTTTTTTGGTATTTCAAGGGTGCTCATTCTGGCCACATGCCCTGCCCACCTTAGTCTGGCCAGTTTAATATACGTGACTACGTCGATGTCTGCATAGAGAGAACTGAGCTCCCTATTTTTTCTTTTCCTCCAGACATCACCCTCCTTTACTGGACCATAAATCCTTCTGAGGACTCCTCGCTCAAAGACACTCAGCTTCATCTCATCCCTTTTGGTCATCGTCCAAGCCTCTGAGCCATATGTCAAAACAGGCCGAACAAGGGTCTTGTATATGATCAGCTTGGTCTTCTTTGAGAGGTACCTACTTCTTAAGTGTCGGCCAAGTCCAAAGACACATCTATTGGCAGCCGTGATCCTTCTTTGTATTTCTTGAGCCATGTCATTCTTGCTATTGATTTCAGACCCAAGGTATATAAAACTTTTCACTCTCTCAAACTTAAAAGAACCTACCTCAAATGGAGAGTTCAGATCAACCTCACCGCCAACTCTCATATACTTAGTTTTCCTCTCGTTGACTTCTAGACCAAGTGGTCTTGCAGCTGCTTCAAGGCTTATAAACGCTTAAGAGAAGAGGTATTAGCGACAGATATAAAATAAGAGTTTAAATTATCGGAGGATACAGGAAAGGCTGCGGTAGGGGATCTGGAAGGATTGCAAATGGAAATTTTACGAAGCAGTAGCCATTTCAATTTGATATCAGAAGCTGAGGAAAGGGTTTCATGGAAGTAGGAAGCTTTCGCACGCCGGATTCTTGTCTGTGCCAAGTTGCAAAGCATCCTGAACGCTTGCTAGTCATCTGCAAGCCTAGTACGTCTAAAACGTCTTCTTGCAGTGTAAGAATAAATGTTAATTATAGAAAATTTGTTTTTTTTTTGCCATAAGGCACATTTGTTTGATTATTAAATACTGATGCTCATCAGTTCACCCTCGATATCAAATGAAGAATACTCTGGTGCGCGCAACACACAGCTTGCACTTACCCCTCTACTTTGAATAGAAATTATTTTCTGGCAATGATGGACTATTATAAAATTTTTGAAATGCGTTTTAAACGGTGCTAAAGCTTAAAGCTTATAGCTTACAGATCATTACGACCATTAAAATAACAAAAAGTCTATTTATTATATCGACGGTAGGCAATAAAAACCTTGTTACTCCATCTGTTTTTACTCCATCTGTAAATTACATAACTCCAGTCTCTGAGCTATATGGGCCTTTCAGTTGAAAGAATTATTAAGTCCAATTTCAACATTTTTGAGTATTGTCATTTTAGTGATATTTCTAGTTGGAAAATTTACCATATCGGTACTGACTGTGAGCAAGTTGATTCCAGAGTAGATGATTGCAGTGTTGAGATATAGAACAGTGAATAAAGTTACAACTTTTCTTACTTAAAATATCACTAAAATCATCATCATCATGCATGGCACAACATCCCGTCACCGAGACTGGGCCTCCTCCAAGAGCCTCCGCCAGTTGGCTCTATCTTCTGCTGCAGCTCTCCAATTCCGCACACCAAGCAGGGTTCTCGCATCATAGGCCACGTTGTCCAACCATCTCGTCCTCGGCCTTCCTACCCGTCTTACGAGGTGCAGCTCCTCCATCATTATTTTTTTTGGTATTTCAAGGGTGCTCATTCTGGCCACATGCCCTGCCCACCTTAGTCTGGCCAGTTTAATATACGTGACTACGTCGATGTCTGCATAGAGAGAACTGAGCTCACTAAAATTATTAATAATAAATGTTGAAATTGGAGTTAGTCATTCTGTTAACAGAAAGAGAGATTTGAAAGTATATTTGTAAATTTATCCTTTAAATGATTATGGATTGTACAACTATTAGTTATTAAACTTATTTTTCATTGTAAAGTTTGCTAAAATGAAATTACTAGATTTTTATTGCCTGCCATAGATGGTTCAAAAGTTATCACACTAATTGTAACTGAATAATGTTGGGATTTCACAAAGAGGAAATTCATAAAATTATTCACTAATTTAATTTTTGAAAAGGTTACATGATGATTTTTTGGAATAAACGGATGATAGATACCTAATTATTTAAATATAATATCAAATCAGAAGTAATTAAACTACAGTAAATGTATGAGAAGGAATTAGTCGAGGGTGCGGTAAAAAAAAAATAAAAAAAATTAAAATATATAAATAATTTTAATTTTTGCCGACGTTTCGACCCACTTTGCAGGTCGTCTTCAGGGCGTTGGATGTGGCACTGCGGGAGGCGGTTGAAACACTGCCTCCCGCAGTGCCACATCCAACGCCCTGAAGACGACCTGCAAAGTGGGTCGAAACGTCGGCAAAAATTAAAATTATTTATATATTTTAATTTTTTTTATTTTTTTTGACCGCACCCTCGACTAATTCCTTTTCATATCATATCAACGGTCAACCATCTCTACATCATTATGAATACAGTAAATGTATTTAAGGTTATAAACAAATGCTTTATACATCCATGAAATATTTTTATATTTCGTTTCTTCTTTCAGACAAGGACAATGAAATAGTATTTTAAACAATGGCATTGCCTTGATTCGTTGGATTGGATTCAAATACTAATTTAAAAATTTATTTATAGTAAGAAAAAATCATTTAATTTCCTTGGAAACATGTGATTTACGTTAAATAATGTTAGTTTTTTTTAAAATTATTATTTATATTTTTTTCTTCACTCTCTGTTACCTTCTACAACTTTATTTATTAGATATTACTATTTCTAAAATTCTCCGCTTTCCAACGATATATTATACTTATACCTTCTGACTGTTATTTCCGGAGATTCATTTTCAACCTGGATAAGCATTTTTCTTTTTTTCTCCTGTTTCCAATTATTATATTCTTTCAAACTTCATATTTAATCATTTTTTATAGTTACTGTCAATAAAAGAGAGTTAATTTTTTTAAATAAACCATATTAAAGGTGCTTTAGAGGAAGATGTATATGAATGTGGAGCTGAGAACTGTCGAAGAAACACAAGCCACGCCCTCAAGCTTTGTAAATGAGTGGTTACCAATTATATTATTTACCTATAGATTTACGATTTTCATAAATGCTTGTGCTGGTATTACTTAATATTTCATTGTATTCATTACGGAATTATAAAAATTAAAATTTGTATATATAACAGTCTTTAAACAAAAAAAATACCATTTGATTCCATTTGCCTTTTCTATTTTAGTTAAAATTTATCTGTACTATCACTAATATGAAATTATGTTAAGTATAATTAATTTATTTACATGTAATTTTGTTAATATCCATTTTATTTTTTTTTAGGGAATTACTGATTCTGAAAATGTATTTTTTGAACTACTTCCTGATGATGAGCGCCAGTGTGAGATTTGTAAAACCACATGTTATTTATCTGCTGTATATTGTAGATGTGATCCTACCAAAAGTGTCTGTCTTCTCCACTACAAATCTCTTTGTTGTTGTCCTTCAAGAAGACATGTTTTGAGGTGATTAACATTAATGTTCTTATAAAAACATTAGCCTATAATTTCTGTACTTAATATCTTTATTATCTATTCCCTCTTTTATTACATTTTCCATGTTTTTTTGTATTCTATTAAGGGAGGGGAAAGGGAGAAATCATCACTTGATTAATTTTACTGAATATGTCGTTCTGAATTTTTTGTGGTAGTCATATTGATAATTTTCATTTGCATGTTCGGCAGTGACCTGTTGTGATAATTTGCTGTTTTTTAGAATGATGAGAAATATTTAAAGGTGTAAAACCATTGGATCATTTATGCCTGTGGTATGGTTTGTCTAGAATTTATCATATTTTTTTGTGAAATCCTCAGTTAATGTAATATTGATGAATAAATAAAATAAATTATAAATTCAAAAAACTTGTGAAGAATTTTTTATTAATAGAATATATCCTGGACGAGCTGCAATATTTTACACGCTATACTATATTTTACTTCCACTTACCTAAATATGTAATATATAGTAGGAGAAAGTATTGCAATCGTGAAAATTTTTAAATCTGAGTTTAATGGAAATACACGTTTTGAGGTCCTCTGTGTCCAAATAACCAAGTTATGCAAAATGGTTTGTGTCTGTGTATCCATATACACAGTATACATTCATATACATATAGCGTCTTAACTACTTGTAATGTAAATTCACAATTCCTTCCTGCTCACTACGACAAATTTGTACAATATTTCACCTATAATTTTTACCACATTTTTGCAATCTCTGAAACATGGCTTAAGCCCTATATCCCTTCCTCCTCCATTTCCTTATCTGATTATACCTTCATCCATCATGACCGGATTACCCGGGCTGGAGGAGGTGTTATTCTTTATGTCCACAATAGCCTGAAATTCCATATCCTAGATATCTCATCCCTTTCTAATCATCTTCACATTAAATTCCTCTTTGCTGAAATTTCTTGCAAAGCAGATCCTGTACTATATGTGGTGATATATCGCCCTCCTTTGACTCCTTTCGACCCATCCATCGAATCTACCTTATACAATTATGTTTCCTTCTATAATAATATAATAATTTCTTGCGATCTTATTACCAACCTCCTCTCTGAATCCAACAACTAACGCTAGTTGGAAAATCTCTTCTTCTCCCACAATCTTTTCATAGTCCCATTTGCTTCTACTCATCATACCTGTTGGTCCTACTCCTGGCTGGATTGCTTATCATTGACTCAGAGCAGAAATTCTTGTCCTGTTCTCAATTACCCGTTTCTTTCCTATCCTCTCATAATCTCATCCAATTATCGTACAATATCCAAACTCCCATGTTTCTTCCTAAAACCGTAACTTTCTACAATCTTGACACCCTCACTCGTGATAAAATCCTACCTGACCTTGGAATCCTAAATAGGAATGAAATATACTCCTGCACCTCTATTGATCATATGGTAGACATTCTCACTTCTAATCTTATTTATATCCTTCACACTCATGCCCCTCTTAAAAACTATACCTTCCATTGTCAAACTGCTCCCTGGATTTGTCAAGAAATTTGTGATATGCAAAAGAGAAGTGATGTATCTTGTAGACGCTTCAGACGAACACGATTAGCAGATGACTATCAAGCGTTTAGGGCACTCTGTAACTTGATACAGACAATGATCTGGAGAGCAAAATCAAAATACTTCCACAAAACATTCTCTTCTGCTCCCGATCCTAAATCAATATGGCTAATCCTTCATAAATTCTCTCTCTGAAAATCCTCTTCCCCATCAGTCTACCCGGTTTCATCTTCATCCTACTTCATCTTCCTCCACCATCAATAGCTCATTCTCTTACCAGTTTTCCTTATCACCCTCATTCAACGCCAATAATTTTTATTTCTCCTACTAATTTACATTTCACCAACTGTCCTTATTTCCTCTATACCTAGTCGTCATAAATATTGTTACGAGAAAATATATACAGATTTTTTAATTTATTTTTTTTGTTTTAATGAAATTTACAACTGTATTACATGAAAAATACAACAAGTAAATGTGACATTGGTAACATGACATGTACAACATGAAAAGAAACTAACCATTGGTAGAACTCAAATTAAAGTTCTATATTAGAAGGTCCCGAGACCATCTTCTTTTCACATGCCTCGGAGGGTTATCAGGGATCGAGGAGGAAGCAAGGTTTGAAACGAAAGGGTTTGGATGGTTCTGCAGTTTTTTATGGAAGGATATCTGGATTGGGCCAAATCGGAAACATATGATACATTTTATGTGTGACAAAATAAGGAGCGTTGAGGATTTTACGAATGATTGTAAGGATTGGATACGAGAGGAATTCGATGGTTTAGTGGAGCCCCAAAGCTCAATTCCATAAGTCCAAATAGGTCTTATTATAGTCATATATATGAGTCGTTTGTAATTGATTGAAAGCTTAGAGCATTTGACTAGTAAGTGTTGCAGTAGTCGAAAACGTCGGGTGGTTTCTAGCGTTTCAGTCTGGTATGAGGGTTCCAAGTGAGTCGTTTGTCCAGATGGAGTCCTAGGTATCGGATTTGTTCAACAGGGATAAGAGGGCTATTGTTGAAGGATACTGTAGGACAGGAAGTCATAGGTTTACGACGAAGAGTGAAGGTAATTTGATGGGATTTATTGGAATTTATTTTAATCCTCCAGTTTTGACACCATTTTTCAAGACTTGTGATGTGTGATTGAAGAGTTTGGGATGCAATAGATGGATCGTTATTAACTGATAGGATACACGTGTCATTGGCATAGGTGGTGATGACAGTGTTGGATTGGGTTGGGATGTCAGCTGTATAAACTGTGTAAAGGATAGGACTTATGATACTACCTAGAGGAACACCGGCAAACTGAATAAAAAGAGATGAATAAGCATTGTTATGATTGACTTTAAAGTATCTGTCAGTTAGGTTGGAACGGATAATGAGGAAGTATGTAGGTGGTAGGAATTTACGGAGTTTGTACATCAGTCCCGGATGCCAGACTCTATCAAACGTCTGTTCAACGTCGAGAAAGACTCCCGTGCAGTACATTCCGCGCTCCAATGCAGAGGAGACTACATCTACCACACGATGGCATTGCTGAATAGTGGAGTGGGATGTGCGGAATCCAAATTGGTGATCTGGGATAATGTGTTAAGAGTCTAGGATGGGATACAGGCGTTTTAAGAAGAGTTTTTCCAGGATTTTGCCCATAATGGGTAAAAGAGAGATAGGACGGTAAGAGGATGGGTGTTCTGGCGGCTTTATGGGTTTAGGTATCATTTTGACAATGGATAGTTTCCAAGAGTCAGGAAAATATGTGGTTCGGAGTACAGCATTATATATATAGTTTAGGAACAGTATGGCTTTTTTAGGAAGCAATTTTAGGATCTGGGATGTGATTAGGTCATGGTCAGGAGCTTTGCGGGAAGGTAATCTATGAATGATATTGGATATTTCTGAAGGATGAAATGCTTTAGGTGGAGGAGTCAATTGGAGTGGGATATCCAATTCTGCTTCAATAAACTCAAGGTGGGTTGGATTAAGGATATCTGGGTGTGGGTTAAATGTTTTTGAGAGGTGCTGAGCAAATATTTGAGATTTTTCTTCGTCAGATCTGGACCACATTTGGATTTCAGTAATAAGTGGGTGGTTAAAATCTTTGAATTTAAGGAGCTTTTTAGTGGTCAACCATAGTGATTTGTCAAAAGTAGTAAGTTTTTCTGCAATGTTGAGTAAATTTTAAACTTTTTACTTTCTAATTTCAGCTTTTAGTTGGTTAGTTAGTTTGTTGTAATATGTCTTATCTGATGGGTATCTAGTCCTGTGCCACTTCGATCTTGCTCTGCGTTTTTCCCTTAATAAGATACGAATATGCTGCGGCAAATTTGTCTGTTGGGAGTTGTCAGTTTTATTGGTAGATGTATTATCGTTTATTTTGTCACTTATAGATGTAGTAAGTAATTCTATGGCTGTGTCAATGTCACGTTTCGTCTTAAGTGGAATATTTAAGTCCAGTTTATTTTCCAGGTCTTTACGAAATTTGTCCCAGTTTACTCGTCCTGTAATCAGTGTAGGAGAGGAGGAGGGCTTAGGAGCGAAGGTTGTGTGTAATGAAAGCAGAACTGGAGAATGATCTGAGGAGAGATCATCCAGGGATTTGATTGTGACATGGGAAGATGAAATTTGGGAGGTGAAAAATAGGTCCAGGATATCAGGGCGTTTTTTTGAGAGATGTTGGCCAATAGGTAGGATTCATAGAAGAGAGGACAGAGTAACTATTTGAAGTTGATACAGAAGATAGTATGTTACCACAGGAGTTGGATGCTCGACAACCCCATCGTTGGTGTTTATCATTGTAGTCTCGGTGGTTGTGTAGTCCGTTAGCATTCCATAAAAGAACAGCTTGTCTCCTCCAGCAATAAAGCGCGATCCGAAGGATTGAAATAAGGATTCAAGTAAGTTGTTGGTAAGAGTATGACCTGGAGGACAGTATACAGCTGAGAATATTAAATGGAAAGGACGAGTTAAAATGATTACTGATGTTGCCTGAATAGCCTCAGTTGGAGTAGAAGGAATGAGAGAATGTTATAAGGATTTATGGACAAGAATGCAAGAACCGGCATGGAAAGTGTTGTCAGGGTGGTCTGATCTATAAGTGATATAGTCACATATGTAGAAATATGAACGTCGAGTGAAGTGAGTTTCTGTCAGTAGAGCAATATCAATGTAGTCATGAAGAAAAATGTCAAGTTCGTCTCGGTGGTTGTGTAGTCCGTTAGCATTCCATAAAAGAACAGCTAGGGGCTTTGTGCTCATCGTGAGAGATTGAAGGGAATTTCAGTATGGATTCTTGTGAGGAGGGTGATTAGTGGCTTGATAGTCTCTTGGAGATCTTTCAGGAAGGACGCAAGGGTGGGGTTTATTAAATCGATCGGGTTTTGTTGGTCAGGTTGGTTTTGATTAGGAGTTCGTGAGGGAAAACTCTTATGATAAGGAATGTCTGATGAAG